GGCACTGCATGACGCCACTGCGGTGCCATGACACACAGCTAACGCCCTGGGCACTGCATGACGCCACTGCGGTGCCATGACACACAGCTAACGCCGGCATACTAAATTGCATGGGTGAAACTTATTTCCTGTCTTAAACTATATGTGTCTCAACTGGCATAAAGTTTGAAACTACTTAAGCAGATTACAACAAAATGTGTACATCAGGTTGGCAACTTGCTTCCCTCCCTGGCTTGCTCTGTCATGACAGGAAAATGGTTTAGGTTCTCTGAACCTCATGCTTCTTGGCTGAAGTCTGATAATACTTTTATTTTGAGGAGGAGCAGTTGCTATTTACTCAGAAGGATTAGAGGCTGATGTCATGGGCCTTTAATTCTCTGAAAATAATTTATTCTCTAGAAACTGCTTGCTGTGAAACAGGGAGAGGTTTCTGAAATCCAAAGAGTATAAAACTGATTCGCACCAAGAAAGCTGACCTTTGAAAACCTGGAATGATATTGCCAGGTCAATACCTCCTTGACGCATGTGAGGGTGGACAGTCAAGTCCACCAACTCACCCTGGAGAAAGTGCTACCCCCCTCATTGCTGGACATCACTGTGGGCGCCTTCCCCAGGGAAGCCGTGCACTGACACCAGTGCCTCATCCACCCTTTAATACAGTGTCGGAACTTGTTTTTTGGAATGACTATCAGAGCTGTCATCATAGGAGGTTTGACGATTGAGTTCATGCACTTGCCGCCACGAGCTTTTGTTGGCAGCACTGTGCAAACAGCTTGGTAAGAGTTCATAACTTGGTACATCAGGGTCTCACCGCTGTGTTTGTGTCAACATGTGGCCGTGGCTCACTGACTTGTGTTCAGAATGGTTGCTGTGTGTTTTTGTGTGTGATATGATGATAGTTCTGAGAGGAAATCTGTGAGAGTTCCCTAGCTTGTTTTTTTGTCTAGTTATTAAGGTTCTAAGTTACTTGGTTTCTTTACCCCCCTCACCTCACCCCAATAAAGGATGAGCAATAGATGTGAGTGGCTGCTCTCGTCCCCTGGCTCTGAGGGAAGGATCTGGCAACACTTCTGTCCTGAGCCTTCTCTAAGGGCTTATAACTCAGCCATAAATATTTGTCACTGGCAAAAACATAGCCTAGAGGGTCACAGTCCTGGAGTAAATTATTCATTTATTTATTTCACTGACTTGCTTTAAATTGTTTTAACTGTATTTATCTTTTGTGATGGGAGGAAAAATAATGGGTTTAAGGTTCAGGACACTTTTGTCCTCCGATGAATCAACCCAGCATGGGGATGTAAGTGGAAAACATCAGCAAAAAGTGACTGCTGAAAACAGACAATAATTCTTTCTTTTTTAAAGAGAAGGGCTGGAGGACTGACATTACTCAACCTGAGATCTATTAGCAAAACTTAAGGGAAAAAGCAAATGTTGTGAACTATTGTTTAACACCCCAAAGCATCCACAACCAGTTTGCTTATTCTTTTTTCTCCGCCCCCCCGCCCCCGCCCCCAGACGAATGCGGTCTGGCAAGTTGTGTGTTTCTTGCACCAGCCTGGTTCTGAGGAAGTCACAGAGGGCGGGGCTGGAGTGAAGAGCAGGGTTGGCTGCAGGCTGGGACACTGGGTTGGGATGGAGCCCCTACCTGACCTCCGTGCTCCTGTTTCTTAAGGGACCACATTTGTTCCCTGCCTGTTTTAAAATTGTCTGGTACTTTTCAAAGCAACGTAAGCTCCATTAAATCACGTATCAAGTTTGCTTCCACCCACCACTTTATCTGTAGTGCCAGGTATGCAGTACAGCTTGAACTACTATGTGCTTAAAGACTGATCGATTCAGTGGGGTTGACTCCAACAGGTCACACATGGCTAGGAGAGGTTTAAAATAGGTAACAAATTTCATATTAAGAATGCATTTGCAATTTGTGTTTATAATTGAGCAACGTGACAGGCCATACTTTCAAGAATTCTATTTCTAAATTCATAGAATCAAGAGCTTAACAAAGAATGCGGTTTTAATTATTAAGAATTCTGAGTTTGTTTCTAAAAAGAAGGTTTGCATTTCCTGCACTTTAAATATCACCACTAAAACTTGGTAGGATATTCTGTTTTAAGCATGCAAACCTTTACATTTTTGTATTTTTTTCTCTGATTATGTAAGCAACACATCATTTAGAAGATTCTGAAAATACCAAATTCCCCAAAGAAAAAAATTGCTTTAATTTTTTAAAAAGGTTTAGTTGTCAGATAAAGATTGAATATATTCAAAGTATACAATGCATGTATAATTTAGCACATGTAAACACATAGTCACCACAATCAAATCAACTCATCGATCACTCCCCACACTGGACATTAGGTCCCTAGGACTTGCTCATCTTGCAACCTGAAGCTGGTACACTTTGACCAACAACTCTCCATTTTCTTCACCCCCAGCTCCTGGCAGCCACCATCATATTCCTGCTTTTAGGAATTAGACATTTTTAGATTCCACATGCAGTTGAGATCCTACAGTATTTGTTTTTCTGTATCTGGCTTGTTTGACATAACATCATATCCTCTGGATTCATCTATGCTGCCATAAATAGTAGGATTTCATAGCACAAAAACCCAAAATTAAAAAAAAAAGCAAACAACCCCCCCAAACTAAAACCAAACAACCCAATTAAAAAATGGGCAAGAGATCCAAGTAGATGTTTTTTCAAAGACATAAAACTGGCCAATAGTTTTGTGAAGATGCTCAACATCACTGGTCACCAGGGAAATGTAAACCAGGACCACAGGGAGACGTCCCCTCACACCTGCGAGCATGCACAGTTACCAAGACGAGAGATAGCCAGTGTCGGCAGGACGCGGAGAAAAGGGAAGCCTCATACACTGTTGGTGGGAATGTTAGCTGGTGCAGCCATTGTTCACACGGTATGGAGATTCCTCAAAAACTTAAAAACAGAATCGTCAGATGACCCCACAATCCCTCGGTTGGGAGTGTACGGAAAGGAGATGAGTCTGTATCTTCAAGAGTTACCTGCACTCACATGCTCACTGAAGCACTGTCTGCAAGAGACCCGCTAGGAAAACAAACTTAGTGTCCATCAACAGAGGGGGGGGAAGGAACATGTGGTGTGTATATACGTGAAATGCTAAAAAGAAGGCAATACAGCTTGTGAAAGAATGAGTGGGTCTAGATCTTGAGTTTACCATGAAAAAAAGTTGTAGCTGAATAGTGGTGTGTGAAGGAAGCAATAAGTTGAGGAAAAAATGTCCCCCACAGTCCAGAGAGGATGTTTCTCTAGCAATAGTTCATCACTCTTTTGAATATTGAATCATTAGACTCTTGCCACGATTCTATGATGTAATGTCACTTGGCATATGAAAAGTCTCGTGCAGAGAAAGTGAAGAAATTTTCTGGAGGTCTGTCTGCTAAGTAGTATAAAGACCTAGGATGAGAATTTCAGATTCCTGGACCATTGTAAATTTCCAATTAAACACTGAGTTGAGGTAACATATGTTTTGGGGTTTATTTTTAATTATTAACGAATTGAGTCAAAATATTTTTTAAACAAAATTTGAGATATAAACATCAAAGTTACATACTAGTGTATGTTGGATATACTTGTCAGACATAAAAATAAGTCATTTATTTACTATTTCAATAGTTATTTTCTTTTTCTTTTTCTTCTGTAGAAAGAGTCTGTGAGACTCTGTCTCACTTTATTGTCCTCAGTAGAGTGTCATGGTGTCACACAGGTCACAGCAACCTCCAACTCCTGGGCTTAGGCAATTCTCCTGCCTCAGCCTCCCACATAGCTGGTACTACAGGCACCTGCCACAACACCTGCCTATTTTTTGTTGCAGATTGTCCCAGGCTGGGTTCAAACCTGTCACCCTTGGTATACGGGGCCAGTACCCTACTCACCAAGCCACAGGCACCACCACACCCTTTATATTCTTGTTCTTTTTAAACCCAGATTAATCAAGGGGCAAATAAAGATCTGAGAAGTCAGAAATATTTAGAAGTCTGTAAAAGAAAATTTATCTTTGTCCTTTAGTTCATCCTATTTTTTTATCGGAATCTTAGTTATTTTTAATCGTTACTACGTCCTGATTAAGGAACATTCCTTCCTTTCCCCATCTTCCTTTTTTCCTGCCTTTGGTTGAATTACCTAATTCCTACTATAATTTTTCCTTTTTTCCTCCTAGGTGAAACCAGTAATCAATATATCCCCTTCCTGGCGGGAGGGATGGCTTTCCTGCTGCTGTTTGTCACCCTGTTTACCGTCACCGTCACCGTCATCTCCTATAACAGGTGAGTCGCGCGGCTTAAATCTTGTCCACCTCGAGTAATTGTGATGCTAGAGGCTCTCTTAATTACCCAGTATCTTGTCCAGCTGTCTCAGCATTCAGGTATACATATTTTTGTGTACTGTTCTTATCCAAAGGAGGAGAAGTACTTATAGTACTATCAGATGGGGAAGCTAGGAACGTTCCCACGACAGTTAGTGGGCGGTGGCAGTTCACCCCACTCATCTGCTGCTTGACACCTGCTCTGAATCCCCCTCTACCTTCTTCCTCCTCCAAGAAAAAGACTCTTAGTGAGGACCGGTGTGTGTAAGAGAGAGACAGAGATTGAGTCTGAGAAGGATAAGAACAAGGTTTAATGGTGACAAAGCCTTAATTTATTCATTCATCAAATATTGATTGTGAACAACAGTGAACAAGACATAAGGAAGCTCACACTCTAATAAGAAAACAGCATAATTTGAAATAATTGTCTATTCACCTGGGTGCTGCTATCGATAATGGCCGAGGAAAGGCACTGACTCAGAGCAGGGCAGAAGGGAGCCATTTGGCCTCTATTGAAGTTTTTGTTTGTTTTTCACTTTTCACTATCTTGTGGCACAGTTAGGAATTTTCTAGAATATTCCTGGTTGACACTTCCTTCCCCCTCTAGCTCTCCCAGGTTTACCAACCCACTTGTCTAGGTGTATGCTGCATTTTTTAACTGTAACCAGACTGGTTGGAATTACTCCTTATGCATCCCAACTAAAGTGTTATCCTCCCTTCAGGGAGGAAAGAACCATTCTTTCCGTGTGTAAATTTTGCACATATTATTATTAATATCGGACATATTATAGACACTTAATCCATGTCCGCTGGGTGAGTGACCGTCTCCTGTCTCTCAGGGATTCCTCTCCCAGCGGCTTGTCCACAGAATTTCTGGTAGGTTTCGCTGTCTCGTATCTGTATCCTTGACCTCTTTCTCTTATTGGAAGCTGCCATTTCTGCTCCCCAGATTTTGGTAATCTTCTGCAACCCAGTCTCAGTTTTATCTTCTCTCTGTTCCCTGTCAATTTTTCCTAGTTCCTCTTCTAAAAGCTGGGTTGGCATGTCACCCTCCTGTAGAATACCATTTTCTGTCTTCCTGTTGCTTCCACAATAAGGAGAAAACTCATTGACCCTGTCATCACAGGTGCTGTGCGTTCTGACCAAAGCCTAGTTGTCTTTCATATTTTCTACTTCATTTACTCCCCCGATGTTGACAAATGTTGTTGAAACTGCAACACACCCAACCCTCTTACTCCCTGGAATGCTGCTAAAATGCTGCTTTCCCACAAACCGGCCTTCATCCTGACCATCATTCCCATGCAGGACACCTGTCCCCTCCCTCGGTAAAGTCTGCTCTTTTCCCTGCTCCCGGCAAATAGACATGATGTCACCCTCTGGAATCAACTTGTACTTCTCTGCTCCTCCTCACATCCTGCTTTGTATTTTAATCATTCTCATGCTTGTATTCCCATCTATTCATAATGTCGGGGCTTGTGTTTTATTCATTTTCTTAGCTTTTGATAGCATTTCGCACCAATCTGTCCAAACAATGGATGTTCAATAAGCATCGGTCTAATTAAATGAAACACAAGACAGTTGTTTCACCTTTTTCTCCATCACGGGATGACTTCAAGTCTTGCTGTGACCAGAAATTAGTAAATTGAGGCAAGGAACTCATGTATTTTTTTTTTATTAAATTATAGCTGTGTACATTAATACTATCATGGGGTATAGTGTGCTGTTTCTATATACAATTTGAAATACTTTCATCCAACTGGTTAACATAGCCTTCATGTCATTTTCTTAGTTATTGTGTTTAGACATTTATATTCTACATTTAGAAAGATTCACATGTACCCTTATAGGATGAACCATAGGCGTGGTCCCACCAATCACCCTCTCTCCACCTATCCTCCCCCCTCCCCTCCCCTCCCTCTCCCCTTTCCCCATATTCTTGGGCTAAAATTGGGTTATAACTTTCCTATGAAAGCTATAAATTAGTTTCATATTCCCTATTTAACAAATGGTGCTGGGTTAACTGGCTGGTGACCTACAGAAGACTGAAACTGGATCCACACCTTTCACCACTAACTAAGATAGACTCTCACTGAATTAAAGATTTAAACTTAAGACATGAAACTATAAAAATACTAGAAGAAAGTGCTGGGAAAACACTTGAAGAAATTGGCCTGGGTGAAAATTTTATGAGGAGGACCCCCCGGGCAATTGAAGGAACTCAGGTATTAACTGGCATCAGGGACTTCACTGCTTCTCCGTGGTGATGGAAAGTCCGCCCAGGGCAGTGATGGGAGCGCGAGAGGCTGGAGCCAGCACGTGGCTCACAGTCAGGCAGGACGGACTGTGCTTCATGAAAATGCATCACTGTTAGATGAATAGCTAAACTGAACTGTAGAATATATTGTCCCGCTTGGTTAAATGTGATAAAGGAAGATTAGTGGGCTTGAATTCATAATCACGGAAGGACACCACAAAGGAGGAGGTGCTTGTTCTTTCTGCCTTGTCGCTTGTATGAATTTGTGGATGTTATTTCCAATGGAAACGCCTTGAAAAACGACCCAAGGGCTTCCACAGTGACCTCCTAAACTCCATTTTACCCACTGTTTAGTAATCTTGTTTCTTCAGCTGCACTGACTTGGCTGGAGGCCAGAACACATCAGACGGTAGGTCTGAGTGAGACCCAGCTCTTTCTCACACTCCGTGTGGAGCAGCCTGCGTGTCAGGGGCAGCGGGAGCAGTTTCGCGGCTCCTGGCCTGTGTGGTTTTCATGCAGAGATAAGAACAGACATTAAGAACTGAACGAGCTGGGGCAGGGGAAGCACTGGTAAGAGCAGACGACCCAAAACATATTCTGCAGATTGACACCTGTGCGTGTAGGAAGAAACCCAGCATTGAGAGACCAAGATGGTAGATACTTATTTTACATTTGTTGTCAGTGATGATGTTCACAATGAGTAGAACGCCTTGGTTTACCTGCGCGGTCCAGGTTTTGGCATTGAAAGTCCCTCCCACCCTGAGAAACTTTAGTTTCAGGCAAACCAGAACAGCTGGTCAACCTACAACAAATCGTGATTGTCTACTATTTTTATCTTACAGAGAAAGGACTAAACTTTAGAGATGTAAATAATTAGATAGTAAATTTCAGAGCACCAGTGAAGCACAGGTCCTCCAAGCTCACACTTGGCTCTGTCACACTCTGTACTCCAGGCTTACTGATGAGTGTGTGTGTGTTTGCAGGTGGATACATTTGTTCCCATTTGGAAAAGTTAACTGTATATTACGAGACAGCAGGCATTGTGAACCATGATTTTACAAAAGGTCAAAGGTCATGATCTGGGCCTTAATTTCCCCATCTGTAAAAAGAGGATAATAATAGCATCTGTGTTGTGGATTTATTTTGAAGAACAGATTACTTAATTTACATAAACACCTAGAAACATGCCTTGAATATAATAAATTCATGGATAGAATAAATAAAGAATAATTGGCTTAAATAATAATAAATAAATGCACCTAGAATAAGGTAATATTTGTTTCATGATAGGAAGATTTCAAAGTGACTAGAAGAAACTGCAGAGTCAGCACCCATCACCTGCATGCCCCGCCCTGAGCAGAGTCAGTACCCATCACCTGCGTGCCCCGCCCTGAGCAGAGTCAGTACCCATCACCTGCGTGCCCCGCCCTGAGCAGA